AAGTAAGTAATATGTTCTAGAGAACAGACTAAGTAAGTAACATGTTCTGGAGACCAGACTAAGCACAATGACGGGTGAAAACTCTAGGATGGGAGGGGACATTGCATTTGGGGGCAGTGTTTATAAGCTAAAGTCCAGAGTTTTCCGCTTTGCGGAAAATTCGCAAAATCGCGGATTTGGGGGTAGAAAGCGGAAAATCCAATTCTCGTTAAAAAAAAATAAATGAATAAAACAAATATTTTTGATCGTTTTTGCACAATTAATCAAATAAATATGAACCCAAATTAGGAATGACAACTCATTTTCACTGTTTAACTCACTTTGAAAGTAACATTTGGTAGCGTTTCCCCTCCTGTTTTTGCTTTGCGATATCGCAGAATTCGGTATTGATTTCCTCCAGCTCCACACCGCGGAGATCACACAGGTCCCCGTTCCCTACATAGTGCCCAGACATCTCACAGCTTATGAATAAATCAATAGGGATGGGGACCAGTCCAAGATCACAGTGGCATGGTGCGTGTAGGCCCTACATGTATCATTATGCCAAAGATGGGCTACCTGTAGATGTATGGTAAATGTAGGCCTACAGTACATATGTACAGTCACATACAGTTTTTGTACACAAAATTTAGAAAGTGGAAGAAAGCAGAATTTGACTTTCAGAAAGCAGAAAATTCCTGACTTTATTATAAGCCTTTTTTTACACAGACTACAGAATCTACCAAGAATTTATTCAAAAATAAATCGAAACTTGAATTGGGAGCCAATAAATGTGCTAAACTTAAAAACTGTCAGTTTTCCATGCCACTGTTTTTCTTGGAATACACATTGAAAGGAAAAAAACAGCATTAGACTTCTATTTCTTTCTGTGGGTGAACAAGTTATTGATACCTTTGTATTCATGAATACTTCAGATTAACCCTAACACTCCTCAGTCCTCCAACAGGTGAAGGATTGAGGAGAGTTAGGGTTAATGCACTCTACCTCACTGTGTCAACGCTACGATAATGGATGCCATTTATTAAATATTTCGCTTTTGTTTCCTAGGCACGGCAGGATCTGAGAGTGATGAACTGGTCGCTAGTCTGAAAGCTGAACTGAGGGAAGCGGAACAGGACCTTCTGGCTAACAGAGAGGAGAGTGGAATGCTGAAGGAGAGATTGGCCCAGTCTAAAGAAGAGGTACAGTTATTCTTGCTGTAATTGTCAGGTCTTTGTTGCTGTCATTATGCTTTGATCATAGACATTCATTTATTTACCTTTGCGTCAATCAACTTCAGCCCTGGATAGAGATAGATCACGGTGACATTGACTTTGAGAGCATGATTCGATAACTTTTGATTAACAGGCCAATAACTTCTGGGAAGCATATTGTCTCGAAGCATACTTGCTTTTATCTGAGGCTCTGACCGGCTCTGCAAAAAGGTGTATTATGCCACATTTTTTTTGAATTTGAGTTATATATATATATAATCAACTTGCTCACATCCTAAGCTTTCATTTGATACATAATTCATTCCATTGGCATTTTGCGTTTTGGAGTTATACATGTATTTGCATTTGCATATTCATATAATATCATTTAGCACAGGTGCTTTTTGAGATATTGCCCTTTAAACATAATGAACAGAAACATTAAACTTAAATTAAACACTCTCTTGGTTTCCCTTAGCAACAGAGGCTTTCTGTTCAAGCAGTTGGCCCCAAAATATTTCCAAATATTTTCACCCTTGGCACATGAAATGGGCCATGACAAATTTTTGCATTGCACAACTTAATACACATTCTGCAGAGTGGGTTACAAAATGCTGTTGGTTTGGTAGCATTGTGTGTTTTTTTGTACTTTGTAATCTAGTTTGAATCCTTCTGTTGATTCTCTTCCTGTGGGAAGTTTATTTTGAAGTGAATCGCATATCTCAGTCTCACGTGTGTATCTCCTCACCTTTTATTTTGTCAAATGACTTTGATCCATTTTCAGATACTCTTTCTGCAAGAAACTGTCCGTCAGGAATGCGAGGAGCGTTTTGAGCTCACTGAGGCCCTGAGTGAAGCCAGAGAACAGCTCTTAACTTATCAGCGTCATGGCAACCTCAGCAGTATCCCTCGACCTTCCTCGAGCACCAAGTCGCACAAGTCGGACCCAAGTTTCAGTGTGACGCGCAAGTCCAGCACAGGGTCCATACAATCTGGGCAAGGTCAAAAACTTGTGCCTGGACAAAGTCCTGCAACCCCTAGTAAGATTGCGTCGAGTAGCATCAACATTGGGTTTGACTCGGGCCAGGCCAGACCACCGGCCGGTCGGCCAAAGGACGGTAGTATGTCTGACAGTAGGCAAAGGATTGCAGCTGCGGTTGGGAGGAGGTGATAGGAATCAGAGGCGCCAACGATTTTCAAAATGTGCAATGTGTTCAGAGAGAGATTTTGATAGGTCAGAATCAATGTAAAAGGATCAATTTGACGTGAATATGGCTGTGACTGGGTCGCCACAAATGGGAGCTGCTTGAGTATTTATTCTGTTCTTCGTAATCTTGCTATGCTGGGTGGATCTCAGTTAAACTATGGTTCCAGATTGGTACATAGTTATTCTTGGGAAATGAGTCCATGAGAAATTTCGTCCAATATAACAATCCATCTATTACGTGTACCTCAGTTATTGTAGTATTGAAGGTTTTCAAGCTGTTTTTTAATCCTCTGGCTTAACAAAAAGTGATTGAGGTGCTGGACAAGTAATTCCATCAAACTTGGAATCTCTTTAAAATCACCCATTTTCCATTGTTGTACATTACATTTTAATTGTAAAGAGGAAGGTCTTCTAAGACAGAAGGTGCTCACCAGCTTAATTAGCTGTCAAACTTGGAATAAACAATTTTTGTGTAAGCGAGTTTCTTGTACAAAAAAATTTTTTTTGTAAGAAATTCTTTGAAAAAAAATATTTTTTTGTAAGAAATTCTTTTTTAAAAATTTCAAATTCTAGACAGTGCCTCCTGATGAATGAAAAAAAATCAATTTCAGTGAAAAAGTCCATCCAGTTGACAGTTTTCAGTTGTATAATATACAGGTTTTTGGTTTAATCATGTAAATATTTTTTTAAGAGATGGGTAATATAAGTAAAGTACATATGGATATCTGATGTCTTCGTCCTTTTTGCAAGATTTCATTGATGTTACTTTTGAATAAAAAATTAATGGTAGCTTGAAGTCTTCATTTGTTCCCAATTCCTGTGCTTGCAAAGTGAAGAATCTGACTGGGTGAAAGTACTCTTTTCTTTGCACGGTTGAAGTTTAGAGGGCAGTTACATCGACCGAATTATGAAACACAAACGTGTTTCAGATAACACCTTGTACTGACCTTTTTACCCGCGTGACTAAATGTGAATAATACCACACATGGCATATATTCCTAAGGGCACATTCAAACGCGCGAACGCTGCATGCTTGACTAGTTTATCTTGAATAGGTAGATGACCATCACAACATTAACACTATGCATCTTTGCCATTACAACACATCATTGGTCCAGCACGATCGTGACATAACTGAAAAAGGTATACTTAATCTCAAAAACAAAACAAAAGCACGGCTTACTTGCTTGCAATAAAATGCTTATTTACTACTGCTAACCATGCTAATTCTATCGCGAAAAAGCACCAATTCATAATGCGATTTGACCAACCTTTCATACTCGCCTGAACTATCAAACTAATCTTTGCACACCGCTCTCATGCCGCCAGAACAGGAATTTTGTTCAGCGCAAGATTGAATATTGTGCAAAACTTCTTTAGGAAACACCATCTCTTCCTCTGCCAGAAAAAAAAGCCTTATAGATTTTAAATACGTTTAAAGAGCACATTTTCCGTTGCACCAACACCCTAATTTGTGGTGTAGGTTCTACTAGACGTACTCCCCTGTTTTTTTTTAAATTTGGACAGACATACCGTAAAATAGGCGATTGGCAGTGTTCAAGTGACCAGGTAAGCTGGTAAGTCGGTCCCCCACTTTCCTTCCGACAGCCAAAACTTGTTTTTCTCTCTAGACGTGCACAGAGGGAACCATCATTACATGTTCACCTGGGATAACAAACGAAACGCACTCACCTTTTTTAATGCTGCTTTGTGGAAGAGTTCCATCGACATGAAAATTCACCAGTCGTCAGAAGTCACACGGTAGACTTCGTTGCTTGACCATGCTGGCAATGCCGCCAGTCGAGCTGTTTCCCAATTCATTTGTGAGATCAACGCGTAAACAACGGCTGCTCTTGCTTAACATTCCAGTCTCACACTTTTGCGAGAGTTTCTTGTTGTCTATGTTGCGGTTAAACAGGGCCAGTAAATTCCTGCATATCTATTCGAAACGTACAGAAAAAACTGAACTCTCCTTTGAACACATCCTCACTGTACCGCCACACAATACAATAGTTTCATTCACCGAAATCGTATCAGCGCTTTTACTTCCAACCAATCACAAAGCGCCAGGCGTGCGCGCAGGTGGAAACCCACCAATAGCCGTTACGATTGGAGAATTATGCAAACAAGACCAGCAGACGACATTTCAGGGATTCAACAGAATACACGCACGGACATGTCCTTGGAAGTTTATTTAGTGAAGTATGTTATTTACAGTCATGCAAATGTGACCAGAACTACAGTACTATAATTTTTTGAAAATCTATAAAACATTATTTCGTTAACTTACAGTATTTTACGGAAGCTCTTCAATCTATCACTACAAATTTTACAGTATAAAATATATCTTGTATTTACAATAGGACGAATCAGTATAATTTTACCATCATCTTTTTATTAATGAATTCATGAGTTATTTCAATTACCATACACACATTTACCGTAAATTTACACTTACAAAACCAACAATTATCGAGAATTGGTGAATACTTAAAGACAGAAAATGGATTAACCCCAACTTGAGCAACAAAGGCACAGCGGTGCACATTTAACAAATAAAAAGTGTTTTTTCGCTTCCAACACTGGTGAGGATGCACTTTTCCTTTCCTTTACTAAAGGGGCCATTTCCATTTTTAAAACCCATACAAAATCCTTAAGTTTTACCTTCTATAATCAGAATCACTTTGAAAACTGAATCAGTCTTCTGTATTAATAGCTAAGACCAATGTGATGTCAAGGGGTTGCCGAGAAGAGAATGTCAGTAAACAGAATTATGCTCCATGCGTCGCATTTTGGATAGCAATATTTTGCTGTGCTGAGAAAACTATTGCATTCGTCAGCACTATACAGTTGGCATTTGCATATGAGTTTCCAGAATTTATTAACTATAATGATAAATTACAGTATGCAGGATTGTAAGGTTTTTGAGCAAAAAGTTTAAATGCAAATGAAGCAAGCGGTAATGTCTTTAAAGTTTTGTAGTAAAGATTGATAACTAAATATTTAAATATAGCTTCTACTACAAAAATGTGTAACATCAAACTAGAGCAAAGAAATCAAAATAATATACATAGCAGTTGAATTTATCAGTGACGGCTGAAAATTTGTTGAATTGATTCTGAATACTTATTAAAGTAAATTAAATGCAGCAGAGAAGCCTTACAAATGCAAAGAACAAATACTGCACTAAAATTTATCCAAAATGAAACAGAAGTTTTAGTACAGTACTACATAACATAAGGATACAAATGAAGCATTCTAGATTAATAAAGCTATTTAAATACTTAAATTTAATATAATTATAATTCGACTATTCTAAATTGATTAGAAATCACTATTAATTAACTTTCTATTAGAAAACGCTATCTTTAATTGTCCACATTTCGAGTTGGACTTTCTCCTATGTACACGTCCAAATATCTGAAAAATGGCATTCTCTTGACCAAAATGCAGGAGTTAAAGTTAACACTTGGTGGGATACATTGGTGATGCCAAGATGGAGTAGGTTGGCACTAGGTTTATTCTACACTCAGAGAATATTGTGGACCGGATGTAATAAGGAGCATTATTTCATTTAAGGGGCAAGGCAACTTTGACTGAAATCTGAAAGGGATACCAAGGCCCAGCCAGGCCCAGTAAGGGCGTATTGACGAGGGAGACTCTCCCTACAGTTTGTCAGAGTGCAGTTTGCATGAAGTTGTGATCACTGTAGGTGGTTGTAGAACTGCATCTGGTCAACACAATGTACTCTTTCTTTTAGTAGGATTTTGACACAACCTCTTCCCTTACATTCTCTTTTCAACAACAACTTACCCCTTGTAATTCACCTGTAGCTATTTCAAATTTCAATACGGTTCCCCCAGACTAACTCTCAAACCACTCGTCTTGTATGCCCTCTTCCAAGTCCTCATCCACTGGGATATCTTCAAACTCCAGCGATCGGACCGAGATGTCAGAGAGGTTGTCCCCCTGAGGGTCCATCATCCCTGATCCCTGCCCCTCCCGACGCCTCAGCTCTGCCTCAACCTCTCTCCTGATGAGATCCTCATCCCAAATCACTTCCTCGTCTTCCTCATCTTCCTCCTCATCAATCTCATCTTCCTCTTTGTACGTCTTAGACATATCTGACAGGTCCCACTTTTAAAAAAGACCGTAATCCACATATCAACAAAACTGCACATTACGGAAATGCAGCATCAATTTTCACAATGTAATATCAAACTGCACTGCTCCTTACGGTTAAACATAATACCATAGCAGAGACATATGTACTCCAATACTGTAATGCTAAAAAGGATAATTTTCTGTACCTATGGGATCAGATATTTTTTTATGGGTGTGCTGGGATGTAACAAGAGGGGATGAAAGGGTTGTTATTCCCAATGGGCTCTCAACTAAACAGATGCAAAAATAAAAACCGGCTCAAAAAATAGGTAAGGAGGGGATTCTTACTTCTAGATCCTCCCCGAAGTTATCAATCGTCTTAGACACCTCCTTCTGTCTCCGCCCTCCTCGGGGATGTTGCGGAGGTGGGGGCAAGGCCTGAATGGGTGACCTCTGACCTGTACGCTCCACATCAATCTCCCCTTGCATGTCATCGTAACGACCTGCCCCTCTGCCTGAATGGTTCAAGTTGGCCTGGGTGCGTGGGGGCTGCTTTTTGAAAAGGAGAAGGGGAGTATGCGGTTCACGCAGAATAAGACTCTGTACAGATTAAGGCAAGCAGAAGCATGCACTTTGCTTTCAATATTGCAGGTGGCTTTAGAATTGAAACAGGTGTCTGAATTTAGAATTGAAACAGGTGTCTGAATTTAGAATTGAAACAGGTGTCTGTTTGAAGCTGTACTGTGTGAACCTGTTGATTTTATGGGAGAACTTCATGAGGGTAAGCTTAATTTTGTTAAATAAAATGAAAATGATGAGTTCTTGCATTTATAATTGGAGTTTTAGATGAGCAATCTACAAAGTTTATTCAAATAAATGTAAGGCATAAATAGCTTTTAAATTAATTTACTTCTTTGGGACAGAAGAGCTTAAGGTATGTTGTTCTATTCAGACATCTTTATTCTGTGCCTGTTGAAGCTGTACTACACCCAACCCAAGCTTTGCCATTAAAGGAACTTTTTTATTAATTTGAAGTATAAAACTGTTTTCAAACAAAAACAATGCGAGGCAAGAGGCAGAGCTACCCACTTCATCGCTTTCATCCTCTTCATCTTCATGTATAGCAGCCAGTCTTGGCTCCTGCTTGGGAACCCAGCCTTCATCGCCATCATCGTTCAACTCACTGCCATCTTCCCTTCCATCCTCGTACGCCCTCACGCTGGGGTCGCGACCTTCTTCCCAGCGCTGTGCTGCCTCTTCTCTGATTCTCTGGCGCTGCTGGCGAGCTATGAGGTACAAAACCTGGAGTTTGGTTCGCTTGGTTAAGGAGTGTACCGAGTATTTATTTTGAATCATTCCACTGGTCTGCTGCTATAGAGGATTTTCAGTCACATGATTTTTGATGGTCAGCATTCAATTTACACAAATATGCGTGCAAATGCACATGCCTTTGAATTCTCTCAACATTCTGCCAATAGAAATACACAGACTCCAACATGCACGTACCTCCAAGGACATGGAACACTTCCTGATATGCCTCTGCCCATCATGTTACGTCACATGAAAATCTTCTATTGCTGGTAGGATTATGTGTTGTAAAGCAGATGACGGTGGAAGGTATGGAGTGACTTTGATTATAAAAATACTACCAGTTTATGTTGATGATGGAGATAGAACCAAGGAAGCTGGAGACCATGAAAATGATAATGATAAGAATTCATGAGGATGATCTTCTCCATGACAGAGATATTCCAGTGTGACGAGAAGTGAACATAAAATGATAAAGGACTGCCAAAACGTTCTCATAAACTCCAAATTAGCAAAGGATACTATTACATCAAAAAGTGTGCACACCGTACTGGAAAAAAAAGGAAATATTTTTAGTAATTCATTACAAAAGGAACTAATGAATATGTAAGCAATATATCTAACTTCCATATTTTAACATCCTTCAAAACGTATCATCATTTAAAACTTGATTACCTGATTATACAGATAAGCAAAAAAAATGACTGGAGTGGGATTTGAACCTGCAATCTCCAGAATACCATACCAGTGCTCTACCAACTGAGCTAAATATCCAGCCCTATGTTTATGGCTCTTCCCATTTGTCAATATCTTTGTTTGGAGGAGCGCAAGCCAGAAGCCATTAAACCTGAAACAACAGGTAGCCGGGGATCACACCCTAGTAACACAATACAACCTGGGAAGTGGTGAACAGGGATCATTCTAAAAGGATGAGGCTTTTGAACATAAATCATGAAAGAAACAATAAAGTTTGCTTCATGACTTTAAAAATTTGTTTCAGGACTTTAAAACGTGCATTTTTCATTGTAATGAGGTTAATAATGCTTCCGTGCTGACCAAAATGCTTATTCATGAATATGTATGGTCTTCAATTTACAAAAATTCAAGACAGATTGAATTAAAAACAGAAAATTGAAGTCAACTTACCAAATGAGTAACCATGGCAATGCATTGAGCAAGAAGTCAAGTCCCTGATCATATATTATGATTGAGAGTACATAGCAGATGTTGGCCAAAATGGCAAAATTGTTAACGTGGGCATGGCGCAGCAGGTAATCGCTTTGTCGGAACTGTAAAATGATCAAAATAAGTCTGCTTAACTTGAACAACTGGTCAATCAAATGACAGCAAATACAAACATAATTTCTACATTTACAGTCCTCTATTTGAATTCTTCCAGGTTTTGCTGTGAGTTGAATATTTCAAAATGGTAATTCAGGATAAACAAACACTTCTCAATTTAATATCTAAAACAGGAGGCAAACATGAAACAAATTCCCTTTTGTGTTTGATGAAGTCCGTAACAAATTATAATTTCAGGGGTTTTACAAAGATCTGTTGGTTTAGCAGTGGGAGAGATAACATTGGCAATGCAGCAACCTACACTAAGATTCTGAATCTATCTAGTACTGAGATACTCCCCAAAGGGGGAAGGGGCCATTGGGCATGGGCCCCTAGGTAAGCACCTGCCCCCCAACTTGCCATCCTCCCATAAGCAAAAACCATGAGCATCAAATGATCTATTGCTCACTGTGCTCCCACCCATGCAAAAACGCTGGCAACAGGGCTGTTTCAGAAGTGCCGAAGAGAAGATTCTAAGTCCTTTAACATTACGTTCATACGATTCTAGATGGTAACATGCTTTTGATGTCCCAGAACCTGTTTTCTATAAAAGGCAGTTGCTTCCAGTTTTAAGGATTTCATTATCACTGTGTGCATCCCAACTAAATTTTTCACAAATTCTCTTCTGCTTCTCAACACTTACCCCATCTTTGACGACGGGAACCTTTGCCAGGCCATAAATTACAATGGCAAACACACCAAGAGTGAATCCAAAGTTGTCAAGACTGCTCTGTAACACGAAAGGACAGAATAAATGACTTCCTTGCACTTCAGCATATAAAGTCTGTCATGTAAGAGGAAGCAGTTTTAAACGATGCAGTAAAACAGTATAGTTTTACCTCGGAGACCATCATAAGCTTTCTACCAGGCCCAAATTTCTCCATCCTCCGTGGTTGCCACGGTGATGATGCTAGAGGCATGTAGATCATAGCTGGTAGCCATGCCAGGAGTAGGCACATGATGCGGGTACGGTCACCATTCTGTTTGCCTCTTGCTCTGTCAGGACTCTTCCATTCACCTGTAGGGTTGTATATTGCTATGTACATGTAGTTGCAGGTGAACAATGATATCATCAGTAAATCAGTTTAGTATTTATCAATTAGTCAGAATATTTTACGAGATTTTAAACAAATTTGCAGAACTGTACAAGATAATGTAACAATTTCATTATGATAATTTTGTGTTAATAGGAAAACTGTTTACAAAATGAGTTTATAACTGTCTGAGCACAACTTCAAAGCTAAAGACTTGCTAAGTTTTCAGAATAAACTGATCGTAAAATCGTAAAATCCTGCAAAATGTAGAACTATGACAGGCAACATTTTCATCTTGAAACTCACAGTACATAAAACAAATAAGCATATTGAACTTACTGTAAGGAATTCCATCTGATTGCTGGGGTTTAGTTATGCAGCGGGTGAAGACGTAATGAATAAAGAAGACAAGGTCAGCTCCAACAAAATAGCCAGCAATCAACACCTGCACAGAATCCAAATTATCCCCATACAATAAGTAAGCTTGGGGAAATGGGCTATCAAAGCATCAAAAACTGTAAGAAGGACAATAATTAATCGTTAAATTCAAATAAGTAAATTTTGTTCAATTGAAGCAACGAAAAAAAAAGAAACATTTTAATCAAATTTCAGCAATAACAAGAGAACTTGAGAAAACACTTATGGCAAATACATGTGGTCCTCTAAAGCTATACAATTGAAATGCACCAGTGCCAAAATGGTTGAAAACCTAGCTATGATTAAATTAAAGGTTTCATATCAGGAAAAATGTCTGTGAAACTCTAGAGTGGGTGAACAACTTCAGACGGGGATGCAGATTACCATCTGTTCCATTTTGAATCCAGTTCTATAAATGGACACCATACCAACCTGTGTTCCTAGCTGTCCTGACAGGCGAGCACCGACCACATTGCACAGGTTGGCAGAGCAAATATGAACCAGTGTGAAGAACTGCCTTCGACTTGCATTACCCTGGAGGTGCCTGGCCCTCAACAAGCTGTAAAAGAGGACAGGAAGTAATCAAGTGAATCATTTAAACAGAAAGTGGCTTTATCCAGCAAAGGCAAACAGATTTTTATCTCTTTCTAGTATTCAGAAATTAATGAATGACAAAAGACGATGCTTCCACATACCTCGTGAAACATAACAGCAAACAAAACAACAAAATGGCATGATTGTATGTCTTAAAATACAAATTAGTGACATAAGCCAATTTAAATGTAATCTAATTTCAAAATTCAAAACAAACAAGGAGCAGCACAAAATGGATAATGGATTTACGTGCAGTTTTCAAAACTGTGCAAACAAACTTGAACTATGGAAAATTTTTGTACATTGATGATCATGAATTATGATCTCATGGGTGTCACAGCTTCTTAACACTTAAAATGGCAAAGGTTGTATGATTGATTTGCGACAATTTGGGTCTTTCCCCAGGGTATAAATCACTTACAAAAGGTGTGAGATCAGCCAGAAACAGAGGGAAACTATTGCAAAGCAGAAGGCCACATATTGCAGGGGGCTCTTCAGACACATCCCGAGACTAGACCAGACGATCTGAGAACCCTCGCTGCAGTTCTCCATGGCAGTGACCATGGCATGGGTGGTCTGATTCTCAACCTCTATGGTGGTTGCTATGGTGACGGTGGAATTATTCATCTTCTCAGGATCTGTAGAGCTGGTCTCTTGACAGGGAAACTAGTCTCTGGCTGTTGGAGTGTAGGTCTGAAGCCTCACCTCTGCACTTGGTGCATACTTGAGGTGCTGATGGATGATAAAGGCAACGGTTCTGTCTCTTTTTCTTGTAGACTGGATAGGGAAAGTAAAAATATTCCACAAAATATAATTTAGTGAGCATGTCTGGCTTTTGTTTCATTTTTCAGAGTGCTCATGAATCTTTGATAGACCTACAGTTGTAAACAAGTCCATTACAAGAGCTTAAGAGTAACCAAAGTCATTAAGTCTCAAATCAAGTGATTAACTGGCATCCTTAATCACTATTGTCGTCTGTGTCACATAACACATGGTGGGAAACACTTTGCTGGAAACATCTACGTTATTTGGTGTGTCCATTACTGCTAATGGCTTTCTGGAAACAAGAACTTATAAATGTCAACATTTACATTGGTCAGTATGCATTTAAATAACACAGCAAAAAATCAATCTTTCTTTTAACTAGAGCTTTCTCGTAGAACACCACCACATTATAGTGCCCAATATATTTCCAGAAATTCCATAAATGCTTTTCACCTGTTTCAGACGAGAACGAGATACACCTGCTGTATAAAAACACCACACGTACATATACACAGAATGATGTTATACCGTTAAATAATCAAAATGCTAATGGGCCTAACTGCAATAAAACAATTACCGCCTACAGCAGCCCGGACGCGTTGTGCAGTTTGTATTTCAGGTTTTGAACAGAAAAAACCTAAATGAACTGCGAAACCCATTTCATTAAAACAATTAAATGCAGGACAGATCGAAAAATAATTTGGACTTACCAAAATTTCAGTTCACAGATAAATCACTTGTGTCTTGCAGCGTTTATTTCTGCCGACCTAATCAATAAATAACACAGCCAGCATTTTCTTCTTTCCTATGGCGGCTGACTTCAGTTAGCGGCCATGTTGGATTTTACGTTGATCAACTTGCGGCTGTGAAAAATACACAAGAAGTGGAACTGAACAACGGGTCTAAAGGTCGCCAGAAATGAGACGTTATCAGTTTTTATTCCGAATTTTGGCAGCCATTAATATATGCAGGAAGATTATGCACTCGCCCCACTGAACTCCCACTGAGACAAGTTAATGATTAACCTAGTCCAGCCGGTACAGCGCGCGAAAAACGTCTGCCGGGAGTGTTTCGCTGCAATCGACTCGAAGTTTTACTCTCCGCTTTTCACACACTTTGTATCACTGGCCTTTTTGCCTTCCGGGAACGCATTGCCAAAATTGGGCCAGCACTGCACTCTGTGGGTCTCGCGATAAATCATGCAGCGACCGTGAAACACAATAGCCATCGAATTGTTGGAATGCAACGAACGCAATGATTTATGCGAACTCAAAGTTTGGGGTCTTCCGTTCCTGTGATCCACTGAAGTTCTTTTGTAAAAAAAAAAAAAAAAATGGTGCTGTTGAACACAAAAGACGAGAGGTTACAGATCTTTACCCCTGCCCTATAAAGACTTGTGACCTTTTTTCTGCGTGGACATCATTGGCATTTTATATAATTTGGTCATTTTCTTCATTAAAAACCTCCCCGGGGTGTCTATCTGCCATGCAATTTCATTGAGGTTACTCTATTCCCCGTGTTGCCCCTGGCAGAGTATCCCCATGCTGATAGGCTGCAAGTTTATAGACAATATGTGACGTCATGGGCTTAACCTGCGCCTTCCAGCTAAATACGGGCGTTTCACAATGGCGCGCCTCCAAGAGTTGGTAACGCGTTGGCCAATCACAATGCGCGAAATCTGTCGACGCAACGCGCGTTTGGAAAGGGTTGACAGATTTCGGGTATTGTGATTGGTCAACGCGTTGCCAACTCTTGGAGGCGCGCTATTGTGAATCGCCCGTATTGACCGAACCTTTAGATACATCGTAATGACATGACTCGAAAGATGCATTCCTTTTATCAGTCATGTTACTGTTCTCATACAAAGTGCACGTATTCAATGCCAGGCTTTTCTTTGATTTCTCAAAGCAAACTTATCTGAAACAACGACAAATCGCGGCATTTCCTTTCCCATCTCTCTGAGGAATTTATTTCAATCTTTCAATGGACTCTCTATACAGACATAAGTTAGGCGTTTCCAGAAAAAAGGTTACCAGAACTTTTTTTCCGATATATTAACAAAGCTTTGTTCTGTATTCAAATGTTATTTTTTACGATTCCAGGAAGTAACTGTAGTAAACTCTACACAGTGATTGAAGTTATCAAATAAGATCGTCCCGAAAATCCACTTTTAATCCTTTTCCACGATTTTTACTTTCTAAATACAAAATTGGGTTAAATGCGTATATAATAGAATATTCAAGCAACTGCCAGAAAATTAATGGTTGTCGATGGTACGGCCAAATCTGGTCATCTTTCCAGTAAATACAAACACCTATGTTAAGGAGAATCAAAGAGAACAGAAAGCTACCATTCACCATAATTTACTCATTTTATAATGAAAATTTCAGGCTTAAGTTGGTTAGGAACGAACTTCAAGCTATACATATGAAACAGACTGGTTCATAAACCAGGCAAGAAATGTAGTTATACGGGCGACAAATTGCCTCGCTGTGGAACAAACACATTCAAGATATCTGCATTTCGTCAAAGAGAAGCGAACAAGCTCCAAACTTCGACGGATTTCCCTTATATAGCCGGTGGAATTATTAAGAAATAAACCATAATTTAGGGGGTTACTTTGGGAATATTGAACAATTTATAAGGGCAAAAGTGATAATAATTTTCAAGATAAAAACTTGGTAGTATAAGTTTCATTATCATACATTTGACAAAATGTTGACTACAACTATTTATCTTTTTTTTCTTCAATTTCTGAAATTCAGAGAAAGCAGACTGCAACCGAAACGTCCATATTATGTCATTCCGCATTCAACCTACATTATCTCCTATAAAATCACCTCTAATAAATATAAATATATTCACATATGCAACTATTTAAACTTTTGCGCTTCCACATCAAAATGTTTTAAAATGAAATTCCAAGAATCAAATTACCACTCTGAACCATCTAGAAAAACTAGTCACATCACTTTCATTTGATCTGACGTTTATTATACATTACAGAAAAACATCAGAGCCATTTTCCCACCAATCATAACGAATAAATGTCAGTTATTTTAACCACATTAATCAAGCAAGACATGCGGAGAGGTTTCATGTAAAAAGGGGCGTGTTCTCTCCAAAACCTGCTTCCCCACTGGACAGATTCGTATCCGACAGACGCAGAAGCAATGTCCGAAAATATGAACATTGGGCAGAACGGCGAACTAAACATAACTCAATAAAATTTAGACCTCATCGGCGAGAAGTGGCTCACTCGTTAAACAGATGCGACAAAATACGGTATGCTAATCTAAAAAGTAGTTACCCGTTTAAACCGTGTGCATTCGTCATTTCGCTAGTACCTAGCAACCGACGCCCAATCAAATGACCGAATGGAATAAAAACACAAGATTGAAGTACAAGGCCTGAAAATGGTTGCCCCTGCTGCTTTTTCATGTCAAGTTAAATTCACGACAGATACCACAAAGAGATTACAATAAAAATCTAGCATTTTCTGTGACTCAGAAACGAATATTGGCAATACGTTGCTCTATCACTGTTATTGCCACGTTGAAAGTTTGGCGTACTGAAATCTGGGAAAAAATTGCTTACCGGTATAATTTTGAGGAGTTTCGTTATTCTGGGCAAATAAAACACAAGATCATTTTAAATTCTCCCCTCTCTCACTTCATGAAAGAGGTTACGTTGCAGCTTAAGAGATACAAACACATCAACCCCTTGAAAAATAACCTATTTCTTTTCTTTTGAATTTATTTTAAAACATCAGTATCCTGGCTACTTCATCAAGAAATACATATCCAATCAAATTACTTGAATTTTCTGAGACCCTTACTTCGTAGACAAAAATAAAGTGGCGATCGGGATTACGGTTATAGTTCTTTACAGTTCAGCTGTTTAAACCTAAATTCCAAGTTCCAAGAAAAGTTGGTCAAGGTGATAGTAAGTCAAGGGGGCACCTTGACTTACTATCACATTTTAAGGATTATTATGCGTACCTCTCTTCCGCCAACATAGCACACTTTAAGCACCAATTACTTGGAAATCCTCAACTGCTCTGGACAAACCTAGTTTCTGACTATCAAACTTACTTGGAAATCCTCAACTGCTCTGGATAAACCTGGTTTCTGACTATCAAACTTTTTTTGTTTTACTTTCATTTAAAAATCATGGACGTAAAGTGAAACATGAATGGTATATTTTCAAATTCTTTCTTTGTACAGATCACAGTGTAGCAACAACCCACGTGGTGTCCATTCTACGCAGTGTAGTTCAGTTCCATGTTCACTTTAATGCGTCAACATAAAGTTACATTAGAAATGTTAGTTACACTGAGTGTAACTAATCAATATGTTCATGGAGCCGCTTATTTTATTATTATCATCAATACGGCGCAATGAAAGTAAGTGTCCACGATGAGGTATGTTACTGTTCCAGGAATCTGTCTCGCTGATAATTTCTCCAGAGAGAGAAAGGCTCATTTTAGAATTAAGAGCAAAATACGGTCGATATTTAAATAAGAGCGATTGCAAACTCCCTTAAAAATTGGAACACAGTGCGCATTTGGTAATTAAACTCAACACTTTATAAGTATTAAATTTTATAGTTTCAAGTACAAATAGCGACGATCTTCCATTATTTTATTTTGAATGGAGGTAAAATTTAAAAGGAAAATAAAGGATACAGAAACAGCGAAACACTAGGAGAATCGGCAGTGAAAAGCGAACCGCCAAGAAGGTAGTAAAATCGAAACGGACACGGTTGAAATCGGAATAAACTTAGGAGGGAGTGTGAAGTGCATTCTGAACAGCTGTCCGGGGGCAAACAGACCACAGACTTGGTTGGTAAATTTGTGGGGAAAATGAACCATTTACATCTCTTTGATTGGTTCCTTATTAACAGTATTTACAACTTTTCACAAACTCTATGCACATCATACTTATAAATAAACTAAATTATTTGCTTTCTTGTTAAAAATTATTTCAACATTTGAAAAAATCACTTACCGCTCGAATGGCATTGATTTTTTTTCTTAATTTAAAATATCACAGGGTTTAGGCCTAGGCAGAGTTATAAACAAAAGCTCTGCTATGCTCTATTAAAAAAAGAACTAATCAAGTAACTCATCTGGAAGAAATGTTCATAAATTAAGAACAACTTTCATCACCACAAGCCTTTCTTTACAAATCACACTGTGCTAACAAAATAGTTTCCACGGCGGGACTTGACACCACTGCAATTACCATGGTGATTTGACTTTCAGCCATAGGAATCAAATAAGGTGGGAACTCAACAGGAGAGCCAAGAAAGTGTAAGATTTGTGACATTCCACTGGACTTACCAAACGGATCGTAGTGGAATATCCAGTGGAATTCTCATGAGATTTTCTGTGGGAATTTTCCACAGGTTTGACAATACAGGCGATTCACAATAGTGTGCCTCCAAGCGTTTGCAATGCATTGACCAATCACAGTGTGCAACATCTGTTGACCCTTACTAGACATGCACTGGGTCGACAGATTTCACACGCTGTGATTGGCCAACGCGTTGAAAACTCTTGGTGGTGCACTTTTGTGAATCGCCCGTATACCAGCTCAGTAAATTTCTGCGGGGTCAAATGTGGTCATGGGCAGTTATATTCTATGCAAATGGTCATTATGCATTTAACCCATACTTCTCCGTCTGGTTCCTCATTATTCACCAACCTGTTCATTCTCGCATACCTAATTTCACTCTCAACCTTTCACAACATACATACACACTCATTGATGTATTGTTAGAATAAAGACCGTATGCATTCTTTTCTTATTAGCATTTCCAAAGCTAGTTGCTGGTGGAGTCAGGTTTGCAAAAATGAAGTGTACACTGACACTTAATCCGCAGCACTCAGAACAAAAACGATCTCAGACTGATAATTAACTTGAACTTTGAACAGTGTAAGTTTTCATTGTGGTTAGGGTATAACACATCACCCTTTCAAATTGGCCCGTGTTTTAAAAACCTTTGCAAAATCTCTAAATAGTTGGCTTTACATTCTCACAAAGGTATTGGTATCTTTTGGAGGAATTGCAGAAACACAAAAGAGAGGTGAATACATTAATTAAACACGAGGCTTTCCTGAGAAACTAAACCAATTTGTCTTGCAGCACAGTTATTTGTGGTGTGGCAAACTGAGGCTCTTTCCTTGAAACCAACGGGAAAGAGGATCATTCAGCCAAGTGAAAAATGGTAACATATATACACATCTCACATTTTCATCTGGATATTTTAACACTTTTATCTTGATCCAGGCTCCACAAGTTTTGTTTATTTGGGGGCCTTGGGTTTCAATGTGAAACTGAAAACATGATCAGTCTCCAGGCACAGATAATGAAGTCCAGTCTTTCAACAAGACACCGACAAAATTGCTTATTCTCCCCTGGGGTGACAACAGTGGAGTACTGATAACCATGGATCAAATTACATCCCAGGTACAGATTATAGAAAAAGATTATGATGACACTTAAATCAACTGCTGATTGTTAAGGTAAGAGTGGTTACAAGCATGATGGTCAGGGGTAATAATGACTCAATTAATCTTATCCCCTTATTTAATCTATTAGTACTTGCATTACATCATACCTATACCTTGATCAATCTTTAAAACTAAGCAGTGAGAGGATGATTTGGGAAAGAATATAGAGTAACACACAGGGAAGGCCGGGGGGGGTATTCAAGGACTGATGGGTGGAAAGCAAATGGGTGGATTATCAATGTAAACCCAGTTGGCCATGGAAATGAACAGTGTCAACTTTTTCAACAGCAACAGAATCTGTAGTTGTGTGCATCAGACACAAGACAGACCTCAGCCAAGTTCATCTCAGCATCTTTCAAATCCACCTGATTTCACCAAAATAATGACTTGTTTTTCAATGTGACTGGTGGTTTCCTTTGATTCCTGATTTCATAGTAATTTAATCTGTGATACAAATATTTGTTTAGAATTTGTGCTACACTGGTTTTATCTGAAATGTAAGAAACATAAAATGGAACCTGTAACCATTTTTTTTTTAGATTAGATTCTTTGTTTTTATATTTCAAAATCAACCAAAGCATCTTTAAATGACAAGGCCCAAGACTTTATCCGAAGGGGTTAAAAATGGAAGTAACTGCAAATCAATAATAATTCATTGTAATTTGACAACTATGCATGAAATGAATTTGTAACTTAGCACACTTTCTTCTTTCTGCAGCATTGGCTAAACAGTGCCGTTGTTCTTCCAGCATGAGTGAGATGATGAATTTCCATGCTGTTGGTTCCCCTGGGGTGAGATCAGCTGGTTTGCAAGGAAGAAATTTTACTCAATGCAGCTGAAAATCCACAGACCATTTTACACTTTCTTAATACAGCACCAAACAAGTGTGAAATAAATGGCAGTACTAAGTTGTCACTAAGGTTTCTGCTGGTGTTGGAACGGCCAAGATAGTTCTTTCTTCAAGAAAGTAAATGGCAGTTAATTTGACATTAAGTTTGAAGTCTAAAACTGGCAGATGAAGTCATTTCCTTGTTCACATGAAAGTAGCTGCGTCAAAGTTTCAGTTTTAGCCACACGTACAGTGTTTCAAACTTTTGAGCTTTTAGGAAACAAAACGCAGCAATAGAATTGACAGCAGTGTACTCACCAGATACCAAGTAACAGGTACATCTGAGATGAACGTACTCTCAGATGACCAGAAATGGTAGACCAAGAATGGAGCGGACCTAGTCAGTGGGGCTGACAGTTTAGGTCCATTTTAGAAACTTGTTCAGCACAGAGTACAGCTGCTCAGCAAAAGCTGGTTACCAGCTATAAAAAGTCATGGTGTGTATTGCTTTTGACTGGCGTTTTGCTATTTTTTTTTCTCAGCACGTAAAATTGTTGAGCAAATGGTGTCTGTCATCTGACCTCAGCTGGTACCAATGGCAAGTCTCACTGCTACATCATTTAGCACACACTGCATGAACACAAGTGGTGGCCTTGCACTGTGACTACACATCTCTCTCCATTTCTCACTGTCTCTCTCACCTTGTTTGTTACATTCCTTCACTCGCAGTTATCGGCTGCTCATAAATAAAACTCATACAAAGAGGATCAGCAAACTGACGCTGCTAGAAAGTCTCTGATGTATAATATATGTATATGTATAATTTACAAGTTAAATGGGAGTCAGTGTCATTTTGGGTTGCCTCTGACCTTGGATGACCCCCCGACCTTTGACATGGTGAGATTTGTTCGGACTACTTTTTTGTCAGTGGCATTGCTGAGCCCTGCAGAGGGGGTGTCACCGTTTAGCTTGCTGGCTGGTGTGGGGGTACCATTGGTGGCATTGATCTTGGGCGTCTCGCCGTTGGCTTGTCGCGTCGTCTTGTCGTTTTCAGACTTTTTCCGTTTCTCCTCTTCCATTGCCTTGGCCATCTCGGAGTAGTAGTTTAGAGCCTTCCGCACCGGCTCAATAATATGCTCCTGAAAGACAAAAACTGATTCTTACTGCTTACCTCTTCAATCTCAATTTTCCAAACTTAAATCTTTGGCCCGTCAACTCGGCTGCTTCCTTACTGATGACAGTGACTGAATTCTCCTCATTAAATTTCTAACCAGAAAACAAGCTAAATTTTCTCTTGGCAAATTCTGAATGAAACCTGGGCTAGACTGATAACCATTCATCCACGGGTGTAATTGGCCACTTACAAAAAGCTGAAACGTAGGAAGTTCCCTTACGTTTATAAACAGCAGGTGTACAAAAAAGCTGAAATGGAGGGTCAACATCTTAACAAAAAAAACTGAATTCAGCTAAAAAGCTGAATTTTCACACCTGTGTTCATGGTTTCAAACTTCCACTTTTAAGAAAATACAACAACCTTACAATATGTTACACATATTGTGCCCAGCCAGCTCCATTTGCAGTTTGACCCGTTTGTTTTTGATCCGAATGAAAATGTTGATGACAAATCTGATACACTGTCACCAATGAATCTGCCGATTCATAAATTTTGTAATCCACCAACAGTAACCCTAAGGCTATTCCATCAAACCAGTATGCTAAAAACACACCAAAAAAAAAACAGGCTAAGTGTTACAAGACAGACAAAGTCCATCAGTAACCATGCCTGAAGAAACTGTCATTTATTACTCAACTGAAGAAAAGTGATAGCTTGAGAAAAGGTCATCCACAGGACACCTTTTGTTAGCTTTCTGAAAAACAGATGGAAGTTAAACAGAATGCTTGGTCAAAACTGAACTTCTTTGGGAGTGTCATAATGGACAAAAAATTGCGTCTAATCTTTGAGTTATGGAACTTACAGCCCCTTTTATCCTGTATCATCTGGTTTCTTTTTAGAAACTGTCCTGAATCTATAAAAGCCATCACTGTGAAGTATCCCAACAACAGGTTTTTTTGCTTCACACTGGGACATCAATCTTTATGCAAAGATATGGCACATGAGTAACCACAGTCCTGAAACCATCAAAATTTACCAAATCTGACTTGAACATATTTGTGGATTTATAAGTTTTTGATGGGTTTGGGATGACAGAGGTAACAATTAAATAGAAAACTGCAGATGGAATATGTTTTAAGGAGGGTAAGTTTTGAAGTATACCTTGTTGGAAGGATACATACAGAACTCTAATGCTTCATATTTGTCGGTTCCACCTACCTCCAATTTGGGAAGTAACACCCCAAGGGCTTCAAAGAGGGGAAGCAGCACAAATCGGATGAAACCGGTTTGTGACGAGGGCTTGGTCACCTTCTCTCGGTCCATGAAGGGTGCCACTGGTAAGCCTTCAAGCTTTTCAACATCGCTCTGTGGTGGTATGGAAGAAATGACAGGATATAAGCCAAGCCATGTTTGTGGATGGATGGTGTGTAGCATTTGGGGAGTCAGGTTGGTGTAGTGGTTCTTTCCTCGCCTTCCACCTCTGCAGTCAGCGTTCGATTCCCAGCTCAGTCCACATGTGGATTGGGTTTTCAGTCCTTACCTGATTCTATGGGTTTTATCCAGAATATTCTTCTGGGGTTTTCCTCCCACCTCTTTAAACTGCAACTACTTCTCACTCTCTCCTATTTACAGATGTAGGCTGTTTGGTGGCTTCCCGAGAGCCCTTGTAAGCTTGTAAGTTTACGTTGTAAATGTGAAGGCCTCCATGGAAAGCAGTGTCAACACTGATCAAAGCTTACCCTCATTTAAGATGACATAATATTTACAGTGGAAATAGAAATTGTTTCATACTTGAATGGATATCGTTTCATAAAATCTAGAGGAATGATCTGATTAGTGTTTAGTGCCCTCTAGCTAATAAAACATGTCTACTCACCAACCAACCCAGCTGTCTTGCTCCCCCCTTAATTTCAGCAGTTTTTTTACCCCAAACATTGACTTCATCAATATTTCTCTGATGAGTCCTTTCTCAAGAGGATATGAAGAAAGTTAAGCCCTCCAAAATGCACAGTCTGGTATACAGACTAAAACTGATAATGAAAGGACTGCAGAAACAAAACTACAAGTCTCCGAGATATTTTACCGTTTTGTACCTGATTAAAGAACTCTTGAAGTAAGCAGTCGATCCAGGGATCAGATACATCCATGGGTCGGGCCTCATTGGAGATGTCAGCAACCTTAATACAGATCTGCATTAACTACAAGAAGGCGGTAAAATGGACAACATTGTTAAGTTGATGAAGGTTGGAGTAACTGTCAAGTAAAGCCACAACCAATTTCCAGAGTTAAATATTGGAATAGGGGTTGTGACCAAAGACATCTTTTATGAGTATGAAATTGGGCAAGTTGTGAAATGGCCGAGTGTTCACTCCTCCAGTAAGATTCAAGTTTCTCTGACTTTTAAACAACTTCCTTTTTAAACTGAACGAGCAAAGAAAAATCCACTGATTAGTTATTTAAAAAATTTGCATTTAATCAAATTTGGCTTTGTGATTCACAGTCATCGGCAACAAGCCCAGAGTAACAAAAACAGCTACACGCCTGTCTCAGAAGGAGCTTTCTAAAACCTCCAACAAATCTTGGAGAGTGGCTCGTCCCTTTAATGCAGCGCAATTAAAACCCCCTGACCCAAAGGTTCAAACAAAGACACAGCCGCTTGGTTTTTGGTTGTGCCAAGAGCCTCGGCCGACCACTTAGTAAATTGAACAGCTGAGGCCATCGTATCCAAACCATAAAGGTCCGCAGGAAATTAAATTGAGTAGGCACTCTCCGTTTGAGACGTGGCTGCTTTGGGTGTTTTGTTCTAAGTGTCCTTTGCAAATGTGTCTTCCAAAACCTCTCTTCATGTGTACGACCACGTCCAAATCATCTGGCTATTGCCATGAATAATGCACACACTTATGGAAAGTGGTTTCAGCCGCTACCCTGTGGCTCTCCATAGATTCAAATGTCATCTGAAGCCATAGCCACAACTTTTGAACATGGCCTATCACGTGAACCGAGACAAATGAGTGTTGACAGTTTAAATCATGAAATATATCTGAAATTAGCCCCAGGACTAGACGGCAATTTCTGTGATGAATCTGGAGAGGCCTGACAACCACCAAAATTGCAGATATCAATTTCAGAAGTAAGAGAAGTTTGAGGCAAAAGCTGTACAGAAAATGATCATGCAGTCACATTTTGAACTAGGTTAAAATCATCTGGGAACCAGTCATGCATGGCAAACACTACACAAGATCTAACTGGTAACCTTCTATCAGTAAAGTTCTGTGATTGACCAGTCCGCAATAAGCCCTGAATAGGGTTATGCATTGTTTAAACTTAATGAGGGCAATGTGCAATCAAAATATAGGGGCATGGACAGTACTCAGCTGAAATGAATTTGACAGAAACTGATTACATTATGTTGCATTAGAGCTTACCAGGTTCAAGTGTTCCTTATTGGAGTAATCAAACTCTGGCACCACGGCCTTGAACTTGTTGAGGATCTCATTATGTTTGGCCATGTCTGTGGCTAGGATGCAGCTGATCATGCCTTCTCGTACCCGTTTGTATCTCTCGTGGCCCATGTTCTTGAAGATGTTGCAATGAGGCTGCGAGAGAGAGGAGAAAGATGCGCTCATGTCGTTGTATAAAAAGAGACAGTAACCACAAATTTCTGAGGAGCACTGAGAACCACATATGGTCAGATATGGTTACTCCCTACACTGCATTAAATCCCCCCCCAATACTTGATGCTTTATGGATTCATAAGCACTGCAGAGGCCACACCCCTACAGAGGAGGCTCTGGGGAGAGATGTGACCACTGCGGAGACCAAAACCCTCCTAAGATGAAGATACTGTACAGAGGCTGGATGCAGTGGTGGCAGTCCCCTCCCCCCGAAAGTAGAATGGCGTGGCCAGTGGAGACTACATCCCTACCAAGATGGCACTGTGAATGAGGATGGATCAGACTTTTTATGTCCAATCTTGAAAGTTTTCCAAGGCACGGCGTTGCACCCAAAACTTTCTTGAAAAATTCATATCCCTGCAAAATGTTCTCTTACAAGTTGCCAAACAGACTTGATGCTCTTCCCACAAAGAACGTGTGGACGAGAAAGTACAATGATTAAAAATAACAGAAAGAAAATGATTCCTTTGAGGACTCACCTTTTCCAAAATTTGAAATGCTACTGAACAGTGGTGATTTTCAAGAGGAGAGATGTCATTATACCTGAGTGCGAGCTCTGTTCTTGCATTCACCTGGAACGATATAGGACAAGTTTTCTTTAAAAGGAAACTCCATCCAACACTTTGCCATCAGTATGTTAAAATGTTTAGGTTTTACAATGCTGTTTTGTGCTATAATTTTACCCGGCACATCTAATGTGTGTAACACAGCCATGTTTTCGCAAAGTTGTCCAACATCCATGGATTATGATGTGGTGTCTACACCTTCACATGCTGCACACAATTGCCTGCTCAGTACCGTCAAGTGAACACAGCTTGGGTCCCTGACTTGCACCCTTGCTATTATATCTAAAATCAAAGAACCACCAATCGTGACCTGACTATTGTACATGCATGCCGCATGGAAAGGCGTAAAAGGTTTCCGGAAAGTGAAAAAATGCCAACTTGTCATTTGGATGCTTCAATAAGCCAATCCCTGGAAACAATCAGAGTATTTTTGTAATTCCGGATCCAAAGAAATGCCCAGAGATTTGCAAGAAATTGCTTCACAACATTAGAAACGCCAAATTCAACTTTAAATTGTTCGTGCTGAGCAAGGCGTTCATAGTCTGTGAAGACCACTTCAAGTGGGACTGCTTCCAAGAAAATCGGCAGGCAGACCTCCTGGGTTACACACCTAGAGTAAAGAAACTGAAACCTGACGTGGGGCGGACAATTTTTTCTTTCAGAAAACACATACATGTACAGCGTGGTTACGAAGGATTTTTTCTGGACTCAGTAAGTACGTGAAAAAGTGAGTGTACACTGTGCGTAATCAGCTGATGTACATGTTTAGGCTGGTACCACAACAATAATGCATAACGCCACAGCAATCTTATGGGTACACGACCGCTACATTACATTGTGTGTTCTACAAGTGTTGATGTGACATTAAAAAATTCCAGATGTGGCACAAATTTTGAACAATATGGCTGAGCTCCTGAGCATGTAAAAAGAGAACGCTTTGATTTATTATCTAATTACTCGGCAGGGGGCTTAAGTAAAAATCAGGAAATTTATATTCTCTGACAAATGCTCTTCATGACAGTTGAAAGAAAAATTCGGCCTGAAATTCCCCTTCAATAGCACAGGAAAAGTGGCCATATTTCCACAGAAAGTTGATTGACTGGAGATTTTTTGACCATCTTCAAGCAATCTCTCGAATGTTAACGTTTGGCAAGAAAGCCTCTTTCTTAATACTGGCTTAACTGTCAACCTCTGATTTTGACATGATAAATGTTCTTTGATATATATGATAAATATGAACACTACACAGACATTCTCAATCATCAACTGGACAGTCCAACTCAGTCTAAGTATTCTGCAAACAGATCGGAAAGTGAGATGAAAAACTGTCTGAACAGCCAAGAGAGACCATCTTGAGTATCGTGCTCCTATTCCTTTAAGTGAGGGCAGTAACCACTTTAATATTCCTTCTGCCTGGCAGTTTCAACTTGGCATATGGGAGACGGTTAACAAAAGATCGGACATAAAGATAAACACCATCAGAGGCAAACGGCTAATCCAGACGAGAGAGAATGAACTGTGTGGCTCAGTAAGGTGGTTGATGCCAATCGTAGGGAATCTTGTGGTGATGAAAATCAATACTGTCTACATGCTTCTGAGTTCCTGGAAAAAGCTGTGGTTAGATTTGGACATACTGGGGATTTCTCTCGTCAGATTGGCTTCGGGAATTCGATTTGGAGATGTCTATGACCGTCTCAAAAGAAACATTGCAAGCAAAGTGGTAATTTCTCGACAAAATCTTCTCAGACATCGATTCAACTCTGTCTCAACTGAACATTTTATTACTGAGATTAACTTCATGTTTTGCAGGCAATAAATGTCTCCTAAACAAGGTGTGTCTTAAGGTTTAAGGGGTGATATAAGTTCTACTACAAGGCCCAAAACAAGGGTATCATTGGATTAATTGGAGGTTTTCCTACATGTATTAGCCCTTAGTTGGAAAACATATCCCTCGATTCTGAAGACCCAAAACTGTACTTGACGAATCTAAGACTCCTATACAAGAAGTCAATGAATTCAGAAAAACCCTACTTTTTCTCTGCGTTTGCAGTCGTAGAAGCCTGCCGGCCAGGATTAATAATAGATTGATTCCAAATTTCATTCAAAGTACCTGATGAACTTTGATCAACATTACCGACACTAACTTCCCAGACCGACGTCAATTTTTTGCACATGAGCAGGATGGAAAGACAAAAAGAAAACTTTCTGACAATAAATCGATCCAGTAAGCCTCGTCCACTGCACACGTGGGGACTTAGTACATGCTCTTCTCCAATGCTACACTTCAGGTTCCAGTTGCGCACGTCATACGTTCGCGTGCATGTCAGACTTAAGTGTCTCGAATCTGTGATTGGTCAGAAAACAATGGGGTGGGGCTTAATGGATTGGTCAATTTTTTTTACCTGATAAGCGTTATTGTATCCTGGATGGTCTAAATCGTGGCAGATTGCAGACGTCACCATGATAAGCACTTCAAGCTCTCCCACTAAATGACACAGGTCAGCGAGCCAGTTCATGCCATACATCTACAAACAGAGATAAAGACAAAAGCAGGCAGAGAGTTGTTCTGTTAGAATTAGAATTGGCAGTACAAAATGCCGGGCAAGAATTGGTATGGGCCTCGAGCTGGACCAATAGAGGGCGCTATTTTCTTAGCAACAGAGGCTTCTTTGGTCGGAACTGAACTTTGCTGGTTCAAGAACAACTAGGAAATGCACGTGTTACGGTCGCGTGGCAGCAACAAAATTAATACTTCCAACCAACGTGACTCTTTTCAACCAATGAGGGGGTACTTCTGCTTGAGGCAGATTGCGGCCAGTTCAACGAGCTGCTTTGGCTGAAATTTGTTCAAGATTCATGAATCAGCAGCACTAATATTTGATCTGAGGTCACAATGCTGCATTCACCACAGGCACTGTGATGTCTACCGTCAATGGGGGCCCCTTGTACGAGTGTGCAGTTATCTTGTGCTGGAGTTCCCTCCTCTACAAGTCACTATAATGTACACATGTAGATTAAACCCCAAATATTCTGATTCATAAATGTCAATTTCACATACCTTCTACAAAGTTAAGAGGAAATTTTATTTGGGCCGATTTTCTGATTTTTCTTTCAGAAGTGCAAAATGAACCCCTAAAATATTGCGCCCCCAAATATTTTTTTTTTCAATTTTTAGTTAGGTGAGTGGGGTAATGATGATTTACTAGAATTTATCAACTTTATAGAACTTCTGAAATTCATTGTGGAATTTTCCGAGATTTTTGATAACAATGTTTATACCATTTGCTCGTTACCCAGCATCTGATTCAGGGTGTTAGGTGAAGAGCAACTATGTACAAGGCCAGTTTACAACACGCAGTGAATTTTGAAAACTAATGAAGTATACAAGTCTTACATGCATCCATCAGTTCCTGACAAACATGCAACTTGTACCATAACACATTATGATAGGCCTTTGTATAAAAATAAGTGTTCACAGAGCCAAAAGTTCCACTTTAGGGTTTGACGAACCCTCCCCCCCAGTCTCTGGTCAGGCATCGGGCCTGTGAGCTTAGTATCGATCGGCAAAGACTCATTTTGAAGCTGACCTCTCATTTCTCCCCCGTGAAATCGTCCTTTCAAGTTGATGAGTTCATTGAGGTGGACAAAAAGTTGGTTAAGCTGCTCCATCCCTTGATATTGAGGTTTTGCGACAGTGGCACAATATCTCCCACAACTGAAAGGGTGGGGGGGGACTGAGCACCGGCAGAAACCTAATCCAGGCTAATCTCCAAACACTGCGATATCTAACACCTTTTAGGCAAACAGCTCTGGCACATAATCAATGCTAACATGCCCATCTGTCCCCAGACCCCGTTTCTTGCTCCCATTTTGGTAATTACTTGCTGAAACCGACGGCAAACTTTAAAGAGACCTGGTACAGACAGTGATTAGTTTTGTTTTCCAAATTTTTTTTAATACGCTTCAAGCAATTCAGGTCTAGTTATTTGCTCCATTTTACAAACCAATATACAGGAAAGGGCAAGACGCACCTGACTACTTATAAAAGTCTCACTTTCATTTTGTCTGTTCATATTTCTGATTCCTGTTTCTCCAAACTAATCAAGTCAGTGAATCAGACGAACAGAAAGAATCAACTGTTTATCAGAAAGACCTCAATTGGAGTGGTATGAGAGAGAGTGAAGAAGAAAACAAAGAAGGGCAATTCTTTTTCCCCAACTTTTTCCAACTCTCTGTGGACATCAAAATGGCTTTGCTGGCTTTCCATTAGGATAGACTTCTGACATTTCAAAAGCGGACGGATAAAATGTACGATATTTGATTCCCTAAATGGTTTGCACCAACCACCTACTCACAAAAAAATCAGTAAAACAGATAAAAGCATTTGAGCACAAAAAAGATTGACACTTGCGAACTAACAATCAACAATGCTACGGTTAATCTTGATTTAAAAAAAAAAATGTGGATTGAGGGGTCTGGTCTGTCATTTTCTCTACAATTAAGTCCACAAAAAACCAGGATTCCTATTCAAATACGACGCCAGAGACAAAGGATTTAAGCATTTCCGCATGTCGAGGCAACGCATTTTGTGAAACAAGAAAATGTCACAAATAGATTTTGCTTTTACACAAAGAACACCTGGTACTCTACGATACATCAGGTTTTGAGTTACATTGTAGATTCCAAGCAAAATGCTGAGGCAATCTGGACCACCTCAGCATGGCAAATAATGCAATTTTGCTATATAACTGAATCACTAGTGACAAAACGTCCATTACATTGCCCACTTACACCAATAATTTACATTAATATCAGTTAATTAGGGACATAGATCTCCCAGACAAATACACCTGCTCCCAATGAATTGGAAGACAATAAAAAAATTGGCTAGTGATTGTTCATTCAGTTGCATATCATGCCCACTCAGTTCCTGACATCACTAAATATTTGCAACCCCATAAAGTGCTTCCCTACAACTGAAAATCAACCACTTTCCCCAGAATAACACCTACATCAATCTCATTCTGTTCTTGCATTGGACGGGAGAAAAAAAAAGCCAACAATGGAAGGCAAGGTGTATTGGTTTAATGGCTAGTCAAAGAGTGATTAACTTATGCATAAAAATCAACTTGGAATCAACTTGGAACTGTGCACAGAAAAACAAACTAAGCAGTACATATTCATCTCCTGCAAGAGTTTTTTTTCCAAAATAGAAGGAACTATTTACTCCCGTCACACAACAAGATGAAAAACTTATCTCCAAAGAATTGTTTTCCTTCGGCGATGTGGGAGAAAAATTACGAGGTAAAATAAGAGAGCAGAGAGGAGTGACTTTACGATGACATGTTGCTTTTATTGAAAGCAGATTCAAGATGATATGTGTGGTGACTCACATTTCATAGACTCAGACCTTAAGACAACACAGACTCAAAATCCTTGACTCAAACATTATTTGATTTTAAGATGCAGTTATCTTTTAAACTGGTGAAAGCTCCAACAATAATTAAATTTAGTCCTATTTCTCTATACATCATACATAATGGATACTTATTTTGTAAGTGCATCATCTCCATGGTTACAGCAAATGGGCCTGCTAGTATATCATGGGATTTGAAGACCATGATGCATTGAAGAGACAACTAATTTAACCTTGGAGGAGTTGATAGACGAGATGTCAATTGGTAAGGCTTAAATTAGGGACTGAAGTTGGGTCTAACTATTTAGGTCCTAGGGTTGGATGTTTGAAGGTCAAAGACATTTATGACCACAAACAAACTGGTAAGTACTTAATACACCACAGAAAATTATTCAAGCTGTCATAATCTGAAAAGTGGCGTGCAAAAATACCCTCAGAACTGCTGGAAATCACTCTCATTCCGGCAAAATGAAATAAAGAGAAAGTACTCTACCAGGAAAAACACCGTCACTCAAGAAAAAAAAAACTTTGAAAAAATGTGGTAGCTTCAAGACAGAGTATCAGGAACACGATACCCAGTCTTTAAGATTCCAGGATTCACTCACAGCTCATCAATAATTCCAGACTCTGGAAGATGGAAAAACAAGATGCCTGCAAAATAGCCACATCCCTGGTGAAACTTAAGGAGCCGATCATGGTTCAGGCAAGTCCCTAGAGGTTCTAATAAATGTTGATGCTGAACGCTGAAGAACTAGCACCCAAACTGTCAGAATATCCAAGGGAAATATTTTTTTAAAAAACAAGGAAGGAAAGATAGCTTATGTTTCACAATTGACTTGATGATCAGACTCAATCCATTTTTCGATTGGGTGAAAAATAAGAAAAGGTTTGGGAATCTTCAGCCCTTTTGCTTTTCCTTTTGGATAGATAATTCTGTCTGTGTGTAGCTCAGAAGCCTCAGCTTTCAGACTTTTTTTTTGATTTGCCAGTCCATTTCCATTTGATGCAACTGCTTTCAATTATGTTAAGCCATCCCTGAAAATTGATTCAATCTGTCTGGCATTGTGAACAAACATTCATGATCCCATGATGAATCTACTTTCTATCCCATTACTGTTGCTTATAAATTTTGTCCACACGGCACAAGGAAGATCCTAGAGGTTGGTTTCTAGCATGAGATTGAAAAGCAGTGAAATGAATCAATGCTGCACATAGAACATAACAAGATAAATCAAGATGAAAGCATCCTTTATATCTAAACTAGCTTTCTCAGGCAATATCAACACAAGGGATCTGATGACACTTTTGTATATATCTGGCTTTATTTCAAAATTATAATCTGGTATCCAGAGGCTAATTTCATAGAGCTGCTTAACCACAAAATTTTCTTAAGCGCAAGAAAACCTCAGCTTGCTAGATAAATCAGGTAACCAACCAAAACTCCATGTGATGTACATGTATATTGTTTTGGGACCGTATTTAGCTGTCTTTTGGTTAGCATGACAATCAGATAGAGTTTGAGCTGGTAACCTTTGTTTTTTGAGCAGGGTTTTTTCATGCTTGAGCAAATTTTGTTCATAACAAGCTCCATGAAACTGGCCCCAGGCCTAGATACATGTACATGTAGACCTTTTTATCATTACTAATAAATATTGACACTTTAATTAATACTTATTTTGATTAGCTGTTCATATAGCTACACGCGTATATTAATTACTTTTAAAATGTAATTACCATGCTAATTGTGGGAATGGAGGGAAGCCTTTTTAATTAGCATTGAAGAGGACGGTTGCCTTGTGGGTGACACAACAACCCAAGCAGGGAAAGAAAGAATCTAACAATTAGACATGACTCCGACTAGAACTGAGAATTGACGAAGGCTCAAGCTTGGCAGAATTCCAAGTCTTAAAGTCTGGTTAATCATATCCTAGGTGCAGGCGAAAATGAGTCCAAGTGGAGAGTATAGTGTCCAGTGTGAAATCGCCTACTATTGGCTTCTTATATTTTCTGCTTAACAGAGTATACTGAAATCACAGCACAAGCAACAAGACAGTGGATTGAAATGGCCACAGTGTTACATAAACGTGACGTGTGTATTATGTCAATACT